GGCAAAAAATGTTAAAAATACAACATGTATATTAAATCATAAAAGGTTATAAAAACGTCATAGTATGGTCAGGAATCAAACAAGATAGTATAGTAAGGCATAAAATGCCAAGAAACAGCAGAACATTTTATGACAGAAAAATGCCAAAAAACGTCATAGTATAGTATGGCATAAAATGTCAAAAATACAACATAGTATATTAAGGCATAAAATGTCATAATAATGTCATAGTTTGGTAAGGCATTAGATGAAATAATATAATTATGAATAAAAATGCCAAAAAACGTCATAGTATTTGTATGGAAAAAAAGGTAAAAAAATACAACATAGTATATTAAGTCATAAAAGGTCATAAAAACGTCATAGTATGGTCAGGCATCAAACGAGATAGTATAGTAAGACATAAAATGCCAAGAAACAGCAAAAAATATTATGGCAGAAAAATGCCAAAAAACGTCATAGTATAGTATGGCAAAAAATGTTAAAAATACAACATAGTATATTAAATCATAAAAGGTTATAAAAACGTCATAGTATGGTCAGGCATCAAACGAGATAGTAGAGTAAGACATAAAATGCCAAGAAACAGCAAAGAATTTTATGACAGAAAAATGCCAAAAAACGACATAGTATAGTATGGCATAAAATGTCAAAAACACAACATAGTATATTAAGGCATAAAATGTAATAATAACGCCATAGTATGGTAAGGCATGAGATGAAATAATATAATTATGAATAAAAATGCCAAAAAACGTCATAGTATTGTATGGAAAAAAAGGTAAAAAAATACAACATAGTATATTAAGGCATAAAAGGTCATAAAAACGTCATAGTATTGTATGGCAAAAAATGTTAAAAATACAACATGTATATTAAATCATAAAAGGTTATAAAAACGTCATAGTATGGTCAGGAATCAAACAAGATAGTATAGTAAGGCATAAAATGCCAAGAAACAGCAGAACATTTTATGACAGAAAAATGCCAAAAAACGTCATAGTATAGTATGGCATAAAATGTCAAAAATACAACATAGTATATTAAGGCATAAAATGTCATAATAATGTCATAGTTTGGTAAGGCATTAGATGAAATAATATAATTATGAATAAAAATGCCAAAAAACGTCATAGTATTTGTATGGAAAAAAAGGTAAAAAAATACAACATAGTATATTAAGGCATAAAAGGTCATAAAAACGTCATAGTATGGTCAGGCATCAAACGAGATAGTATAGTAAGACATAAAATGCCAAGAAACAGCAAAAAATTTTATGGCAGAAAAATGCCAAAAAACGTCATAGTATAGTATGGCAAAAAATGTTAAAAATACAACAATGTATATTAAATCATAAAAGGTTATAAAAACGTCATAGTATGGTCAGGAATCAAACAAGATAGTATAGTAAGGCATAAAATGCCAAGAAACAGCAGAACATTTTATGACAGAAAAATGCCAAAAAACGTCATAGTATAGTATGGCATAAAATGTCAAAAATACAACATAGTATATTAAGGCATAAAATGTCATAATAATGTCATAGTTTGGTAAGGCATTAGATGAAATAATATAATTATGAATAAAAATGCCAAAAAACGTCATAGTATTTGTATGGAAAAAAAGGTAAAAAAATACAACATAGTATATTAAGGCATAAAAGGTCATAAAAACGTCATAGTATGGTCAGGCATCAAACGAGATAGTATAGTAAGACATAAAATGCCAAGAAACAGCAAAAAATATTATGGCAGAAAAATGCCAAAAAACGTCATAGTATAGTATGGCAAAAAATGTTAAAAATACAACATAGTATATTAAATCATAAAAGGTTATAAAAACGTCATAGTATGGTCAGGCATCAAACGAGATAGTAGAGTAAGACATAAAATGCCAAGAAACAGCAAAGAATTTTATGACAGAAAAATGCCAAAAAACGACATAGTATAGTATGGCATAAAATGTCAAAAACACAACATAGTATATTAAGGCATAAAATGTAATAATAACGCCATAGTATGGTAAGGCATGAGATGAAATAATATAATTATGAATAAAAATGCCAAAAAACGTCATAGTATTGTATGGAAAAAAAGGTAAAAAAATACAACATAGTATATTAAGGCATAAAAGGTCATAAAAACGTCATAGTATTGTATGGCAAAAAATGTTAAAAATACAACATGTATATTAAATCATAAAAGGTTATAAAAACGTCATAGTATGGTCAGGAATCAAACAAGATAGTATAGTAAGGCATAAAATGCCAAGAAACAGCAGAACATTTTATGACAGAAAAATGCCAAAAAACGTCATAGTATAGTATGGCATAAAATGTCAAAAATACAACATAGTATATTAAGGCATAAAATGTCATAATAATGTCATAGTTTGGTAAGGCATTAGATGAAATAATATAATTATGAATAAAAATGCCAAAAAACGTCATAGTATTTGTATGGAAAAAAAGGTAAAAAAATACAACATAGTATATTAAGGCATAAAAGGTCATAAAAACGTCATAGTATGGTCAGGCATCAAACGAGATAGTATAGTAAGACATAAAATGCCAAGAAACAGCAAAGAATTTTATGACAGAAAAATGCCAAAAAACGACATAGTATAGTATGGCAAAAAATGTTAAAAATACAACATAGTATATTAAATCATAAAAGGTTATAAAAACGTCATAGTATGGTCAGGCATCAAACGAGATAGTATAGTAAGACATAAAATGCCAAGAAACAGCAAAGAATTTTATGACAGAAAAATGCCAAAAAACGACATAGTATAGTATGGCAAAAAATGTTAAAAATACAACATAGTATATTAAATCATAAAAGGTTATAAAAATGTCATAGTATGCTCAGGAATCAAACGAGATAGTATAGTAAAGCATAAAATGCCAAGAAACAGCAAAAAATATTATGGCAGAAAAATGCCAAAAAACGACATAGTATAGTATGGCATAAAATGTCAAAAACACAACATAGTATATTAAGGCATAAAATGTAATAATAACGCCATAGTATGGTAAGGCATGAGATGACATAATATAATTATGAATAAAAATGCCAAAAAACGTCATAGTATTGTATGGAAAAAAAGGTAAAAAAAAAATACATCGTAGTATATTAAGGCATAAAAGGTCATAAAAACGTCATAGTATGGTCAGGCATCAAACGAGATAGTATAGTAAGACATAAAATGCCAAGAAACAGCAAAAAATTTTATGACAGAAAAATGCCAAAAAACGTCATAGTATAGTATGGCAAAAAATGTTAAAAATACAACATAGTATATTAAATCATAAAAGGTTATAAAAACGTCATAGTATGGTCAGGAATCAAACGAGATAGTATAGTAAGGCATAAAATGCCAAGAAACAGCAAAAAATAGTATGGCAGAAAAATGCCAAAAAACGACATAGTATAGTATGGCAAAAAATGTTAAAAATACAACATAGTATATTAATGCATAAAATGTCATAATAACGTCATAGTATGGTAAGGCATAAGATGAAATAATATAATTATGAATAAAAATGCCATAAAACGACATAGTATAGTATGGCAAAAAATGTTAAAAATACAACATAGTATATTAAATCATAAAAGGTTATAAAAACGTCATAGTATGGTCAGGAATCAAACGAGATAGTATAATAAGGCATAAAAACCAAGAAACAGCAAAAAATAGTATGGCAGAAAAATGCCAAAAAACGTCATAGTATAGTATGGCAAAAAATGTTAAAAATACAACATAGTATATTAAATCATAAAAGGTTATAAAAACGTCATAGTATAGTCAGGCATCAAACGAGATAGTATAGTAAGACATAAAATGCCAAGAAACAGCAAAGAATTTTATGACAGAAAAATGCCAAAAAACGACATAGTATAGTATGGCATAAAATGTCATAATAACATCATAGTATGGTAAGGCATGAGATGAAATAATATAATTATGAATAAAAATGCCAAAAAACGTCATAGTATTGTATGGAAAAAAAGTTAAAAAAATACAACAAAGTATATTAAGGCATAAAAGGTCATAAAAACGTCATAGTATAGTAAGGCATAAAAACGTCTTAATATATATAGTAAAGTACATATGACTTTTTATGACATTTGTATGCCTTTCTATACTATGACATTTTTATAACATTTTTGTTGTTGCATTTGTATGTCCTATCTATGTACTTGGTGAACACTGAGTGTGAAAGGTTTGAAAAACAATAAGGGTGTTCTGAAAGCAAACAATGAGAGAAAGGTCAGTGATGACTGAAATTTATGACTTTGCCCCCAGAGAGACAGCATAGGCTTTGGTTTCTTGTGTCTTTTTAAACAACCCCAAACTCTGCCTGTGCTTAGTGGATAAACAGATCAATCAGATGTTTTTCTGACTCATTGGGCAAGAACTGTTGTTCATATTTACATCAGCATCTGTCCCACTGATTGTCAAGTGTGTTTGTATGTTTTTGTGTGCACGGCAATCATACACTGACAAACAACGTATCACCATTAAACCTCCCACGAAACTCCCCCAGCTCGCACCCTGTTCCAACTTTTACTAATGTGGACATCGTGTAGCAGAACACCAGTTCTCAGAAGTCCTTCCCTCTCCTCCTCCAGCTATGACAACACAGTGCTCTCTTCATTGTCACCCATTGCCTAATTAAACGTGCACATGTAGGATTAGTGCAGGGGCTTCCGAAGAAGAATTAGATCATTCATCTCTCACTGAATCATTTTTCTTAGCATGCTGTAGAGTAGAGCAGCTGTAAGCTACTATTGACACCAGACCTGCACCTTATCAAAAGTAAATTATCCTTTCAACACAACCACCAACACTCAGTGGAATGAAAAATCTCCATACATACATTCTTTTCAATTGCACAAAATTATTCTTTATACTGTGTTTGAAAGTGTTGAGCCATGTAATGTAAGTCATGACAAATCATCTCTCTGCACTCTGTGTATCTCTCTCTCTGGATGTAGACTACCTGGCAAAGCATGGCCGTCTCAGTGAGCTGGAGGCCAGGAGGAAGTTCTGGCAGATCCTGTCAGCGGTGGAGTATTGTCACAACCGCAACATCGTCCACAGGGACCTGAAGGCAGAGAATCTGCTGCTGGATGGCCATATGAACATCAAGATCGCAGGTACCATAAAGGCAAAGTACAGGACAGCCCATAAGCTCTCTGATGGATGAGAAATACTGGATGTCTGCATGGAATGATCTAGTTTTGATCCATTGCCTGTCATGATCTCTTTGCTGGTGTAGTTCAGAAATGTCTTAACCACCTGCCCAGGCCATTTGCACAGTGTTGAGAAGTGGTCTGAGGTTGCTTGCGAGATAGCTGTTGGCTGAAAGATGCCATGACAGACATCTTAAAATCTCAAGCTAGAGGAAAGGATTGTGCCACCTTTTCAAAACTGATGATCAGAGGAGATCAAAAATCCCTCCCCAGTGACCCCTTGCTTTAATTTTGAGGTGGAAACATTAAAGATAAAGGACAAAAAGAGGAACAGACCCAGAGGCAGAGATTTGAGAGTAAGCTGGAGGTCTGTAGTACAAGCTTCAAAGTGTGATTATTAAGCAACTGGCATTTAGAGCTGGCTAGTGAGAATGTCACCCTATTGCTGTGTCCAAGAGTGGAGAAGGGGGAGGCTGGGAGGGAGTGGAAGGAAAGAGTTTGGGTTTAATTGGAGGAGGAGGGGAGGTGATATAATGCATTGGCTATTTGGGAGACAGAGTAACAGATGAGAGGATGAAGGAAGAATAATGAGGACCAGTGCATAGTAGGGTGGCAGAGCTGCAGCTGTGGCAATGCTCTGAAAAAGGCCAAGGTTTATCTTAGGCTTTATTCAGAGCTGATACTGAAATACATCTAAGGTGAGCTGATCACTTGAGGATGGCTAAAAATAAAGGTGTGAATGGATACCAGAAACATTGAGTTTGTGTGCTTCAGGGAAAATGCCCTCTTGTTCTCAAAGGACTTCACATCATGACCTTCAAATAGACGAAATAAAATCATTGATTATTGGTCTGATAAATCTTACTTCATGGAGGGAAAATGACAGATGCTCACCCCAGTTAACCTTCATTTATTTGTTCTAAGAGCTAAAATCAGATGAGGGCAAATTAGACAGAACTGTACAATAACTGATAGAGAACCGAATGTTCCGCCTGCATCATTGCTCACATCATCCTGTCCACTGTTTCTCAGAAGGGTCCAAGATGATAACCTGGAGATGTTATTACCCCAGCAGTAATTTTCACAAACATGTCTGACTCACAGCCGATTGTCCGCACGGCAGATTAGATTTGAAGCAGAAAAACAATGAACAGAACATTACCTGGCTTATGATTAGAGAAAACTTCTCTAGGGAGAACATCAGCAGCAAAGTACATTCTGTACCTCTTTTACCAATTATGTTCTCTGACATGTTTGGTAAATGGTACATGAAGAAAACATGTCAGATTCATACTGTACGTGAGAAAGAAGGTCCCAACTTCAAATTTTCCAACTGCATTAGTCACATTGATGTCAGTTTAGAGCAGTCATCCATTCAACCAAGAGGAGTAAAGATTTCCTTGTCTTACTGTGTTCATGCAGGGCTAATCTGCATCTAGAGCTTCATCTAATAGTTATTTTCATTTTCATTCATCTGTTGATTATTTTTAGACTTTAAATGCAAATTGGATAGGACTGTAACTAACAACAAGAAATGGATTGGACTGTTCAGGTATTTTGGTGGTTGTTTTGTCAAGGCCCATTGACTCACATCTCCTTTTTTTTCTACAAAAAATCATCTTATCACCTTTTTCATCTTGCTTTTTTTTAAAAAAAAAGTCTATATCTTTGCTTTTATTTAATCGTTTGAATATTTTTTGACAAGTAAAAGCAGGAAATTCTCACATTTGTGAACTTGCACGTCACCAATGAATATGTGGTCATTTTTGATTGATGAACAGTTAATTATTAAAATTGTCAATTAGTTTTCTGTTTCTCGTTGCAGTACTAGTCTGAATATGCATGGGCAGACAGAGTACCTATGCTTCAGGGGTTTTTCTGCAATCCAGTTATGCCTCCCTGCTTTTTAAAGGCCACCACTGGTCAGTCTGTATGAAGCTTAACCAGGCAGTGGTCAGTCAAAGAAAGGTCATGCTCATGGTGGCTGCAGCGGAGAAGGGAACAGCAGCAGCAGGGGGTGCCCTTCATGTTTTCACTTCAAATAGCCTCTTTACGTTCAAGTTGACAGATTGAAGGGAATGGAAATTGCAGAGGAGAAATAACAAAAACAAAAGCAAGTTGCTGGATCAGTGGTAGCGAGGAGGGCAACCTATGTGACCAAGAGAACCTAGGAGAACCACTTTCAAAAACAATATCTGATATGTTGTAAGTTGTCTCATATCATGAAACCGTCACCAGGCATTTATAGCTTCATTAACTATATTTGAATTTTTCAAGGTTGAAGCCATCAACATAGTGATGCCATGGAAATTCGCCAAACTTGAAAGGTGTTTCATGCTCAATTAAACAATGTAGTGAGTACAAACAATCTCCAGATCAAGTATAGTTGGTGGAGAAACAGTTTCTAACTACTTTTACATCTAGACACATGGATCTATCTTTAAAGAAACAAAAGGAAAACACTGGTTGTACAATATGACAACATACAGTATACCATGAAATAATCAATACAGTAGACGGAGACTTCTTCCTAGCAGCTATTCCTTTATTATCTCTGATTATATTCAATTAAATTCAACTGTTCCAAATCACAATATACATTATCTCACAGCACTTTACGGGTAAGGTCAAGACCTTCTTTGTTATAGAGAGAAACCCAACAGTTCCCACAAGGAGCGAGCATTTGGCGAAAAGCAAGAAACCTCCAACAGAACCAGGTTCATGGTGGGAGGCCGTCTGCCTTGACTGGTTGGGTTCGAGAGCAGAAAGAGGGGTTGAGGGAGGAGAGAGAGAGTGAGAGAGAGAGAGAGAGAGAGAGAGAGAGAGAGAGAGAGAATGGACAGCAGTATACACAATGATGATAACGAGTGTTGTAGTGGCAGATCTGGATCCTGCTGCTCCAAAAACAAATACCTGCAGAATGAGGACAGAGAGAGAGACACACAGAGAGGAGAAGCACAAACTAAGGGAGAGAAAAAATACAAAGTTAGTGACATGAAGTAGTACGGTATAAATGGATAGAGAGAGAGAGAGAGAGTGCGCTCGGTGCGTCATGGAAATCCCCCAGCAGTTTAGGTCTGTAATACTATATATTGGATCATTGTGATCTATGTTTCAAGTCAGTGAGCAGGACTGTGAACAGGCTGTATTTGATTTACAAGATTTTTACAACAGTCTGATGAAGGACCTTGATTTGTCAGGTATTCACTTTTTGTAATTACCGTTAATCAAGCATTCCTATTGAGCATCAAAGTCCATTTTTGACCTTGCAAACAGTAGTTCACCTCAAGGCCCATTTAGCAGCTGTTCTGGAGCTTTTGATCATATCACATGATTTTTAAAGTCCCTAAGAGGTTTGGTGTCAAATCTTCAAAATTTCCCTGGTACATTAAAGGTTCATATTTAAATACAAACAAAAACAACAAAAAGTAAAAAAACAATTGGGTGAAAAAACCCTATTTAGGCACTGTATAAAACTCAGCTAATCTGCTCTGTTAAGTGATTAGATTTGATTGACAGTGACAAAACAATTCACTTACAGTGATCAGATTCTGTTGATAAATCGTGTTTGTTGCTCAGACGTACATGACATCAATGGAGCAAACCAGTCAGAAGAGAAGAGAACAGACAAAAACATAAATGTAGAAATTGGTTTCTATGAAATAACAAGAACTGTTTAAATTTGGCATAAATTTGTATGTTCATGTGGGACCCCATCGTGGTAGGAATATGAGTTTTCAGTACCTTAAACAGTTTTATACAGTCACATATACCATGATATTTACTGTATTTCCCACTTTGAGAATGAAGGAGTTTTTTGCTGTTTGGAGGAAAAAACTCTCACCCCCCCACAGGGTGTGTGCAGTGTTCAAAATACTCAAAAGACCAGTAAATGTCCACACCAAAGAATTTAGTTAAATTTGTTTAGTAAATCTTTTCAACAAGCAATGAACAAATACAGAATTCTGGATCAGATGTGTATTTCCCTAACCAATAACAAGTGTTGGTCAGTCCACAGTCTGATAACCTAACTTTCCCTGATCCAGTGTATTTATACAGATACAAACAAAGAAATGTGCATGGGCATTTTGTCGTCTTCTGATTGGCTCTGCTGGCTTCCTCCTTCCCATCTGACTCCGACCCTAAGTGAAACCTAAAACTCAGCGCGCCAAAAAGAAGACAGTTAGCGTTTACACATAAATTACCACTTCTCTACCTCTGTTACCTCCGGCTGCCCCCTACACATGCCCATAGAGTGGTCCTTATCAGTGGTTGTAAATAGTTTCCTTGAGGCAGATGTTTAAACCACAACTCACCCTTAGCACCTAAATATCCACTAGTATAAATCATTAAACAGTTTTAGGTTTAATAGCCTGAAATATTCCAACAAGAAAGTTTTCTAACCAAATCTACCATCTATTAGATATAAGACTGCAGTGGAAATTGTTTGAAGTGAAATCAATCGTACCAGGTTGAGGTTCTCAGTTAATGTGAGACTGTTAAACTTTGATTGAACAGCTGCCACTGTGGACATATGTGGACATGTGATAACTATAAACTTAGCGCAACAAAAGCTCAAGTGGAGAAGAGCTGTGAAGTCAACGAAATGTCTTGGTAGCATCTGTTATACAGGAATACATTTACATTTACTCATTTGGGAGACGCTTTTATCCAAAGCGACTTACAAGTGAGTGATAACATTCAAGGTTCAATATAGTAGCAGGCTTTGAAGTAGGCAGTAAGTACTAAATCTGTTCAATAAGACAAAGTGCAAGGAGATCAGGTAAAGAAGTGCACAGTAAGTGTAGGTTATGTGTGTTAGGAGAGGAGGTGCTCTTGGAAGAGATGACTCGTCAAGAGATTCTTGAAGATAAAGAGGGATACCACTGCTCTGGTAGCATTTGGTAGCTCGTCCCCCTTTGGTCGGGGAACCACAGACGAGAACACTCTGGACTGAGATTGCCTTGTGTGTGTAGGAATGGCAATGCCAGATGACGTTCCTTGGAGGAATGCAGTGGCTGAGAAGGAGCCATAAGCCTCTATGATTAGGTTCAAGTAGATGGGTGCAGATGCAGAAGTCATTCTGTAGGCAAGCATTAGTGACTTGAATTTGATTCGGGCAGCCAAGGGTGGCCAGGGGCAGTCAAAGAGCAGTGGAAGGTGCTGCTGTGCTGAGGTTTCAGGAGCCTGAAGTATACAAGCAGAACGACAACAAGAGAGAAAAAGGTTTTAGGTGATAACAAGTGTGAGCGAAGAGAACAGATGAAAAGGCACGAGAAGAGAAAGGAAGAGTGTATCCAGCGTAGTGCAGTGCATCCTTGGCTACAACCATTAACTGTATCAATGCTCATACCCTGTTATTAGGAACAATACAGTTTTGACTGCTGGATGCTGTCCTCTTCTCTCATACACTCGTCACATCAACACGCACACAAACACAGTTTTGTTAGCAGGAGTATATTCCAGTGTGACATGTTTAGGCTAATATTATGCTAATACTGTTGTGCGCGACACACACTTGTTCCCCACCCCGCCCTTCCTGTTGAGCTGTGAGTGCTGTTAGTAGCCTGCAGCGTGCTGGAGCTTTTGACGTCAACCAGTCTGCTCAGTATTCAGCTCCATGAATTGGGTCACAGCTTCTGACGATAAACCGACTGCACTGCTCCGCTCTGCTCTGCCTCTCACATCTCACCTTCACAGCAGCATCAGACAGTAAACATACTTGTAATAAACTTTACTGTGGCGTACTGCTTTACCCTCCACACCTGCCGTTACCTGCACTGCAGTAATTAAATAGACTGAATACATGCTCACACACAGTGTCAAACCTTCTATTTTCTTTTCAGTTGACGTGTGCACTGCTCTAATCTTTCAAACCTGAGTCCAACATGTGAACAGTGAACTAGAATTTCCTTTAGAGGAGAGATGGATCGACAATGTCATGCAACAAATGGGCATTGCAGTGACATTATATGGTAGACCTCTTAATCATAAGGCCTCAGACACTATCACACCCTAAACAATTTGTCGATGAAACAATCAGTTAACAGACAGAAAACTGTCAAACATTTTGATAGTTAAAGACTCATTTAATTAAATTAACAAAGAAAATTTCCAATAATTTGTCGCCTCCAGCCTTTTCAATGTGAATATTTGCTGCTTTTCTGTTTTATGTCTTTGTAAACAGAATATTTTTGGGTTTTGGACTGTTGTATTTTGCTCCAAGAAACAATGCTTTCACTACTTTCTTGCATTTTATAGACTATATAAATTAAATGCTGCTCTACACAATGTGAGATATTTTGTGTGTGTGTGTGTGTGGGGGGGGGGGGGGCGCGCCACTTTGACAGTAGTTACAGTTACAGAGCAAAGGAAAAGGATTTGGTTACAAATTCGGTCTCTCTTGCTCTCACACTGCTCACTGTGTGTATGAACCCACATCACCTCCAGCCCCATTATGTAAGCCAGATTTTTTTTTTTATCAGTGTTATTTATTTGTTTTGCAATACATTTTTCTGTTTATGTAACTGTTTTGAATTATGGAAAAAGGGTGGGGGTGGAGGGTTAAGTGAGCCTGATTGTCTGCTTCTGTTGCTGTCGGGTCCCATGACACCATCACAGGGTCCCACTGATAATGACCTAAATTGACCTGGAATTATTTTCTATTATTCGTCATCAAATCATCTTATCTGAGAAGCTATAACCAGCAAATGTTAAAGATTTTTCTTGATTTAAAATTATTAATCTGTTATGTGAATAATCACTGATTAACTTTCTGCTGATGAATTAATGGAACGATCATGAGAAGTAAGCGCTAGTAGCAACGCAAGTCTTGTAAAACCAAACCAGGACAGGAGACAAAGGATCATTTACTGGAGAACATTTAGGAAAGACGGAGGTGGGATGAGAATGATACAAACTAATAGAAAAAAGGGGTTGGCTGAGTGATTGCAGGCACGCAAGTTGACTGAGTGTGATTTGGCAGATATTACTACAGCTTTTAGTTGGATTTTAATGAAAGGCAGACGTGAGCCTCTCTCTGTGTGTATCTGTGCAAGTGTAAGTTAGACTCCCCTGTTTTACTCCTCTGAAGGTTTAAAATCAGTCACTCTACACGACAACCAATCAGAGCACAGCACTGATGACCTCGTGTCAGTCTCCAGGGGAGGTTACCTCATGCAAAGGCCCATTTCCTCAATGCAAAAATATGTGGATCACATATTACGTTATGCAAAACCTGCAGACCCCATGGAGACACTTAAAAACTCTCAATCACAAGGCATTACTCTCCTCTCTTGTTCTGCATATTTCCTCCATACGGTTTGACCACTTGAGCATGCACATCACCACAGCTATACTGTAACTGTAACCGCTTCCCTTTTTTTGCAGTCACAAGAAATACTTACAGTTAGAGGTTGGCTTTTTACATAAACTGCTGTAAACACCTTGTGGTCAGTTGTCCAATTTTGGAAAAGTCTTTACAGTTTCAACTTTAATGTTTGAAATGATCTTCACCTTTTCTCCCACTCACCCACTTACCTCTGGTGTTCTGTGTTATGTAGATTTTGGATTTGGGAATTTCTTCCAGCCTGGGGAGCCTCTGGCCACATGGTGCGGCAGCCCGCCTTATGCTGCTCCAGAGGTTTTTGAGGGACAGCAGTATGAGGGCCCGCAGCTTGACATCTGGGTAAGCTGACTGGTTGCATACTGAAGATAACTGTGCCACATTATATTTAATATTCAATTAAACATACAGTGATATATGCATTGAATACATATCACAGACTGTACATCTATTTCCTTGAGATATTTTTGTACAGGACTTACCATCAGCTGAAACAATAAGTTTTGAATACCAAATATGTATCTATATATATTTAATATGAACTCAGCAGATTTTGTTCCTGTCATGTGGTGCTGTAGGGATGTGGAGTGTGATTTCCCAAATGCAGTTTATTGCCTGTTGTATATTGCAATTAATTTTTTGTGTTTGTGTGAAGGACCGGCATTTGTGTGTACAGTATGCAAGTCTGTGAATGCAAACAATAATCTTAGACTTATTTACATCCGGACACATCTGATTGATTGATTGGTTTACTGATTGCCCTGACCTTGATCTATGTGTGTGCATCTTTTCATGTTCACAGAGTATGGGGGTGGTGCTGTACGTACTGGTGTGTGGCGCATTGCCCTTCGATGGGCCCACTCTGCCTGTTCTCAGACAGAGAGTCCTAGAGGGAAGGTTTCGCATCCCCTACTTCATGACGGAAGGTAAGAGGAGACGAGCTCATTCTCTCTGGGATATTGGACAGAAAATAAGAGGAGTCTGTGCCAACTCCCACTCATCAGTACCTCACATTCCTGAAAATGTACACACATGCAGTGCATTTGTGAGACACCTTCCAGTCTTTTTTATCACAGTATGTAGTCAAACTGAGACAAAAATGGCATGAAAATTCCTGTGAGGGACAGTGCTGCTCAGATTAATAGATCACACTTTCCTATTTAAGTCACCATACTCTTGCATGATCACTGGCAGACTCTCTTGTGGCTATAACCAGTCAGGGGGTCATTTCATTAACGAGAGAGCATTACGCTCATTTGAAGGGGATACAGTAAGAGACACTCTGCTAATGTCCTCTGTAATGTGTCAGTGTGTATGTGCATGCCTGCATGCTGCAGAGTGAGTCAGGTTGGCTAACTGTCTCAAAGCAGTCCTGCTGTTAGCGGCTGTGCTAGCTAGCTGGCAACAGATTAAGTCTAGAGCTGGAGCTGTTTATGTAACCTGGGGAAGAGCCAGTGAGGCCTTCCAGCAGCTTGCCTGTCTGTCTCTCTGAGGAGACTCTGCCTGTCTGTCTGCTCGTATGTCTGTCTGACTCATGCTCTGTCTGTGAGACATCTTCCTGTCCGTCTGTGGCCCTGTCTGTTTCTCTTGTCTTGTTTCTCTGTATCCCATCTGCAAGTCTGTAGCACTTTCTCCACAGGGGGTGTGGTGAGAGAGTCGACCAGATTTCTTTTTTTTTTTTCCTGTTCAGGACCTTGAAACAATTAAGACATAAGGGGAATGTAGGAGTGTAATGTCAGCTCCTTGGCCAGACTGACACTCAAACCCGCCTTCCCACCCCCAGTCCAGTCCCTGTTCCCTGAACAAGGAGAACAGAGTGTGCCGATTTCTTCATCCAGAAACAGTCCATCTCATCTACTCATTCCTCTCACTGGCGCTGTGGTACACAGAACAGCCTAGCACCGCACAGTAAACTCTGAATGTTGTGGTCCTCTCCCAACTTACTGACTAATGACTACAGTAGATGTTGTTTTATGTCTCCCATGATGTTGCACATTGCACAGGCCTGGTAGATGGTAGTACAGAATAGCCTAAACCAGCATTATATTGATTAACTGATCCAATATCAGAAACAGCAGGAAGGTGTGCAATTTAAGAGAGAGTGGAGCTCAATTAGAAGTGCGCAAAATAACAGTGTATAATAAATGAAATAAAAGTATAATATAGACAGTATGTACAGATGGTAGTGCAGCATTCTGTTCACCTGTCACATAGAGGTGGGCTGTTGTAAAGTGCAGCACAGCACAGTAGATGGTAGAAGATCTCCAGCATATTCCTACATATATTGATAGATCTAAGCTTCCTAAGAAATTAGGAAATGCCCCTCTTGTACAAAGCGTCATTGTTGGTCCTCCAGGTGATGTCCTCAGATTGCTTGTTCTGTTAGACAGTCCCAAAGATAGGCAATTAACAATGATATGAAACAGAGAAAACTTTGGAGTGTTTGCTTTAGAAAATTACTTGAATGATCAATTCATTTGCAAAACAGTTTACTGTTGACAAATCAGTTTGACCAATCACAGTCCATACTGGAACAAAACTAGGAGTTTGATGTGAAATCTGCTAATGTTTGACAGCTTTGAATTGCAATTTGTGTTTCTTAATGTTATGTTCACAGCAGCATTTTTATATATTGGTTATAGTCTGTTATTTTTAAGTTCCTCTGTCTGATAGATAAATACTAAAATAGACAATAAACATAAAGCCTCAGTACCTGCTCTCTGCTCTTCAACCTTTTGCAACAGAGTGCTGGTCTCCTTCACTGAGGGACTTGGTGCAACTCTACACCACTGGGACATTGCAAGTGTTAACTGGGATGGTTCTGTGGTTGAGTCATGGTGGTGTAATGTAATGGCTAAGAACAGTGTGCCAATCAATCAGCCAGCCGGCCAGCTAGACGCTTATGCGGTGACGGCCCCTTTACATAGTCCAGCCTTCCCTGGTGGTTAGTAGCTTTGAAAAATGTGCTCTGCTTCAACTGTTGCTATAAACACGGCTGTAGCAACACAGAGCCTGAGTAACTTCTGGGTCAAACAAATTGTAGTGTAATGTATTGTATTGGATTTGAAGCAGGTTGCAGCTGCACAAGCTGTTATGATACCACAGCATGGTTTAAAAGGGGAGTGAAGGGCACACTGGTTATGCTCATTATGGGGGAAAAAATTGAGTTGGCTGAACTGCCAGGCACAAGGTAGAAAAACGTGATGTAAGTAGACGTTAGTAGATCAGCAGTGCTTGGAAGAATGTGCAGCAGGGAGTTAATGTTGGCAGCCAGGTCCTTGGGCTCTCTCCTAACGCTGTGACTGAAGACAGGATATCTATGGACAGTGATAGAACAGGAGAGAAGGTGACCTGCAGGAGGTTGCTAATGTGTGTTAAAAAATTAACTTTGGCTCTTTGAAAACTCCAAAATTTTAATCAAATTTACCAAAAATGAATGTTCTGTGAAGTGTCACTTATGACTGGGAAGCTCTGCCTCTACTGTGTGAAAATTGGAAGAAAGACATTATGATAATTAGACTTAAAATGTGTTTCAAAAACAGAACATTAATCACCTAAGCACAGCACTTGAATCGTGTTTTGTTTTGAGATTTTTGAAAAAGACAAGTTGACTTTTCACTCAGAAAATGCAAGGTACAGATCATTAATTTGAGAAACATATTCCAGTAAAGACAGCATTAAAGAAAATAATGACCAACTGCAGAGCTTATTTTTTGAAAACACACCTGTTTTACTTTAAGACTGTATCAGCAGGGTATATGGGTAAAGATGCCGTGTGGCAGGCAGGAATGTGGTGCAAGCAGTAGGGGTGTAGGTAGGCCAAAGCGGCACAGCCAGGGGAACTGTAATCCTGTTAAGAATCCAGCTGTGTCTGACGTCAAACTCATCTAGCCACTAACAAGAGGTGAGGAGCTCTCATTAGGAGGGGAGGAAAGTAGAAAAGAGTGTAGACACGTTGCTCAGAAAGTGACGGCAGAAGAAACTAAGAAAAGAATTGAGCAGATTTTAAGCTCCTAAGTGTTATTTCAGCCCCACTACCTCTGGGCTACATTGATGAGGACTTGATGGTTTGTAGCTTAATTTGCTTCATCATAGCTAATGCAAGACATGCCTTGTGTTATCAAACACAACCTCTTCCTTTTTAGAAAGGGATGATCTAAAATATGAAAGACTATAAAAATGTTCTTACCACGTCTATGTTTTTCCTTTTCATCCCTTGCAGACTGTGAGCACCTGATCCGCAGGATGTTGGTCCTGGATCCGTCAAAGCGTCTGTCTGTGGCCCAGATCAAGGAGCACAAGTGGATGGCTCTGGACGTTCCAGTACAGAGGCCTGTCCTGTACCAACAGCTCCTGTCTGCTGAGGGCGAGGTGGGCGTGGGAGAGTACAGCGAACAGGTCCTTCGCCTGATGCACAGCCTTGGCATCGACCAGCACAAGACTATAGAGGTGAGGACTTTGCCTTATTTATTCAACAGGGATAAGAAGGGGAGTGCTTTAAACGTTAAAGCTTCAGACTTCAGATGGTCACAGTGAATATGCATTATTCTGCTTATGTAGAATATGTATGTCCAGCAGTGTAATAGAGCAACATACAGATACAAGAAGGATAAAAACATGTGGAATCATGTTCTCATTCTTGTGGAAGTAGGGGTGGATTTAGTAATGCAGGGGCCCTAGGCAAACCCAGACATGGGGCCTCCCTTGTGCCTTAATCTCACCCTTGAGAAAATAATTGTCTGCTAACATGAACAGCCAGTGGGGGATAATAACTTTTGCTCAGGTACTGACGTACAATTTTGAGGTACTTGTACTTTACTTGAGTATGTACTTAATGCCAATTTACATCTACATCACTACATTTATTTGACAGTTTTAGTTACTAGCTAGTTAGAGGCAGCAATGATAATCCACATACATTGACAGAAGTTCTTTGAGGGCATTTTGTTCATAACTGCAAGGTATAGATAAAAGGTAGAATAGGAACATAATTTTAGTTATACCTGAACATCATAATATATCTATACCTATTAGTGGCCGACTTTTACTGCATGTAAATCAGACGGCTCATAACGACATCCAATAGTGCACACATGGGAAATGCAGTTCACACTGTAGGTCTCCTTACTGTTATTTGTCAATATTTGAATGATTGAAAGAAGCTTTATGCAAAAGGTATCAAACCTTTTTGCACCAAACTTTAAAGGAATGGGCAAGGGAAGAACCCAATAAATTTTGGGGCAGATCCGGATCATTTATCATGAAGTTGATTTTTTTTCTCTGAAGTCTGGTGTTTGACATTCGCCTTGGCAGAGGTCTGCACTCTCTGAGTGCCCTACCAGTTGTATTTTTAATCTATTCTCTGTTCTGAAGCTGCTGCAGTAACCCAATTTCACACAGGGATAATTAAAGAATTATCTCATCATATCTTAAGAGCTGTCGCGGTCAAGTCATCCAAAATTGAAGGTGTGCTTCAGTAATAACTTCAATTACAGACGCCGCCATTTATATTGTATGCCATCCTCTAGTCTCTGCAGAACAAAAGCTACAACCACTTTGCTGCTATCTACTACCTGCTGGTGGAACGGCTCAAGGCCCATCGCTGCAGCTTCCCTGTCGAACAGAGGCTCGACGCCCGCCAGCGGCGGCCCAGCACCATCGCCGAACAGACTGTCGTCAAGGTAACTGCAGGACGTCTGGGCGAGGAGGGGGTTCTGAATAATGTATGCAGAGATTATCATCCACGCCTCCCTGATCAAAGTTCCATTATTCACACCTGCACCTAGGAACAAACAAACGGACAGACATTAATTTATTTGTCCAGCCAGGTTCTGTCTTCACCTACTCTCTTGCAGTCTTTTCCGCCCAGCCTTGATCTTCGTGCGTCTCCCTCAGCTCCATAATTCATTATTTCTTTTCTTTGCCCACTGTCTCTTCTTACCGACGTTTGTCAATTTCTCTTTCATTTTCCGCACAATCTAGGATCTGTCTTTCTTGTCTTGTTTAGATTACAAAGTCAAATTCACTGCAGCTCAATTTTGTCATAATTGTATCATTATCAAGGATGTTGTTAAGTATTGGCTATGAATTGGAAAGGTTTTTTTTGATGTAATGTCAAAGAGTCTCACAGTCTCTGTTGTTGTCCCTCTCTGCAGTCGACCAGTGGTTCAGCCCAGGTGGGTTTACTCCCGCAGGGTGTTCGTCTGTTGCGCTCCCCGGCTGTGCCCCAAGCCTCCTCTGATGCTTTCACCTTCGCCCAAACTGCATGTCCTCTGGAGCAGAATTTCATGGTGGAGGACATCAACACGCCCAAAGTAGGTCCAATACCAGTAAAAAGAGGTTGAGGCTTTGGGGACAAAGATGTCTTTTTGTTTTTGTGGTCGTCCTCATATGACAGCTCACTCACATCTGGCCTTCCAGTTATGGAAGTTGTAGTTATTACGGTTATTATCAGCTTGCACAAGTATGTCCTGAAAAATTATCCCACTAAGCTTGACAGTTATTCACTTTGATAAAGCATACCCACTCACTGTGAATCAGAAATGCTTGTGCGCACCCATGTGTATATATGCGTGCGTGCATGCACGCGTGTGTGTGTGTGTGTGTGCGTGCGTGCGTGCGTGCGTGCGTGCGTGCGTGCGTGCGTGCGTGCGTGCGTGTCCACCAGACTCCTTTGAGGTTTCAAGCGTTGGCTTGCTCCGTCAACCTGCCAGAGTGCAGCTAACTTGTTCTCTTATGTAAGCACTCAGCCAGCACACATCAGACAGGACAGCTGCCTGTCCTGCATGGCTCCTGGAGACACACACACACACACACACACAGAGTGCTCGCCCTCTTTCTCTGTTTATTTGTGCCAACCAGCAACCTTTTCCTCCAGGCCTGTGGTTGAGCTGACCAACTATTACAGAACACAGACACCAGTGGTCTGAGTTGATGGCCTCACACACCTGCAGGACTAAATGCACACACGCACATTCACATAAATGCAGTATCATTCTTCAAGATTTCTTTTCTATCCCACCCCCTCTTCTGTCTTCATTAAAGAGTGATGTGTACGTTTTTGTGTGTGTGTCTGCGTGCGCGTGTGTCTGTGGTAAGCAGAACAGAGCACAGACAGAATGCGTGTTATCTGCATGAATGGAGCATGGTTATGTAAGCGGTCCTGTGATGATGATGTGACCTAATGCGGAGCTGAGTGAACACACATGGACAGGAAGCTGCTGCGCTGCTCCAGCGATCTCGCCACCGTGACTTCCTACCCATCAGCCAACAGCTCATCTTTTCTTTTTTAGCTTTTGGATTTTTTTTTCCTTCTCCTGTTCTTTTGCCTTTTTCCTTTTTCCATTCAGCTTCCTCTCTCTTGCCTCTTCTTCATCCCTGAACTTCTGTCTCCCCTCATGACCCCACCCCTTTTCATCGCCTATTTCTCAATGTCATTTTGCCCCTCCTGTCCTCAGTGTGTGTGTGTGTGTGTGTGTGTGTGTGTGTGTGTGTGTGTGTGTGTGTGTGTGTGTGTGTGTGTGTGTGTGTGTGTGTGTGTGTGTGTGTTGGTTGAGTAACAGCATTCCTATCCCAGCACACTACAGAAAGCAGATGGGGAACTGGGCAAAGTTGCTCTTTCTAGACCAACACCAGGCTTTCCGGTTACTGCAGCAACTCATGCAGATGATCTTTGTGTGTGTGAATGTGTGTGATTTTATGTCTCTGTGTGTGTGTGTCAGTCACACAGCACTTTCAGTCAAAGCTCGCTTCCTGGCCCTGCATTCCTTTATCCCCACCCTCCACCTCTACGCCAACACACAGGCAGGCCTGCATGCTGTAACAAACACACAGACCAACTGTGGTGAGTGGAGGGAAAACAGAGGGAGGAGAGTAACTAACGGAGCTTTCATTCTCAATATGGTGGTCGCCTTATTGTATCAAAGTGGTCTAATGGTTTTAAGATGCCTGATGTGGCTAACAACTTTCATTTTGGATTGTCCCAATGTGAAAGTGTCCTGCTTTCTTCTGCTTGCTTCAGTGTGGAGCTGTTTTCTTCTGGGCAAAGTCAATACTGAATGTAAAGTTATTGTCCCCCCCCCCATCTAGGTGAATGGCTGCCTGCTGGATCCCCTACCTCCCCCCACTGTCCTCCGCAAGTCCTCCACCTCATCACCTAGCAACATGATGGAGACATCGATCGATGAGGGCATTGAGACTGAGGAGCCCGACACAGAGGATGATCCGCCCCACCTGCTCTCTGCCTATCAGACGGCTCGGTTTGGCCAGAGGAGACACACCCTCTCTGAAGTCACCAACCAGCCAGGGCCTTCAAACCAAGGTATGATGTCACCTGATCAAACACACACTTTAAGAGTCTGTCACATGCATCCAGTGCTAAAATGAAGCTGTTTTCTGGATCACTTTCTTGAATGTATAAAGAAAATTTTGTCCCCTAGGTAAATTATTCACTCTAGGCCACAACCCCTCCATGGGTAGCGTGGACTCAGATATCGGCTACGACATGGGCTCCATGCACAGCGACCTTGGTCTGCTGGAGGATCCCCCCTCTCTCAGTGAAGTGGTATCAGCGAACAGCTCTGCCCCCGGCATCACTCCTACGCCTTTCTTGAGCGCTCGCCCCACCAACCCCGCAATGGCTGCCCTGACTTCCCAGCACAGGGAGACACACAACCGCTCCCCAATCAGCTTCAGAGAAGGACGCCGTGCCTCTGACACCTCCCTCACCCAAGGTCAGAACCACTAGTGTTAATTAGTCTTTTCTTAATTCCATATGCAGTCATTCTCCTTTTTGGACCAGCTCTCGAATTTACTTTTTACTCACTTTTCTGCATGCACTCAGACTACATTGACTTATAATTTGTGAAGTATCTTCCTCAATAAACCCAAGCACTGCATTTGAGGGTCAACCTCAATATGCATATGACCATTTTGCTACCTTAGTAGCAAGTCTCCCTCCTGGTGTTATATGACATTGCATTTTCAGTGCAGTTTAATTGATGAGATGATTGGAGGCTGCAAGGAAGAGATGGAAAGATGATTGAGTTCCTCACAAACCATTGGCAATAAGAAACAAATCTGTCTTAAATGGGATCTCTACCAATTTTACACATCAAAGTATGTTGGGGAGTACTACTACATATGTGAAAAAACATTGTTTAAAGCCTTTTTATGGCTCTAGATGGAGCTACGCAAAATTTGATAACTTGACTCAAGTGATGTCACTTGAGTCAGCTTCAGTTGGGTCTGAAGACAAGTTCGAAAATGAAGTCTGGGGGTGAGGAGTAAGGAAAAATAGCATAACATAGCCCAATCTCTTACTGAACTTTTGGCCATCGAGTTGCATTGTGGGTAATAAAGGTCTCAGGTTTTACAGGGAAGCATTGAATTCAGTTTCCTTAAAAAGGTTATAGAAGGTATTAAGACACCTTAAATTGAATATAGAAAAGTCTTAACTAGTCTCTCCTTCCTGCTGTAGGCAGCAATGTTAGTTGTAAAATATGCATATAATATACATAATGCAATAATATCTTTATTGCTCTATCTACACAGCTGAATGCAGCAAGTTCAGACTTGCACTTGAGAGTTTACTAAAACACATTCTTTGACATATAGGAAATCACTGTCAGAAGTGGAAGTAGTCAAGTAGACAGGTTGAGAGAAACGCTCTTATATAAGTGTCAATTAAATGCCAGATTGGACACATCTCCTTAAGCCCAGTCACTGCAGAGAGTTTGATGTATAAAGTGTCATAGCGCATATGTCTGAGGCTCCGGGGTCCACACAGCACCAGTCAAGAGGAAGAGCTCTGATTCTCATGACACAACACAACACCCCTGCTGCAGCTGCTCCCTCACACCCTTCTACACACACACACACACACACACACACACATATATATATATCTGTATACTGCCTGCTGGATAAAAGTGCCTCATTCCCACCCTCTCATTTCACACACTCTTTTACACACTTTTTTTCCCCGTCTCTACCTCCTCTCCTCTCCCTTCCCTTCTCTCATCCTCTCCAGTGACGACTACGACGGTGATGATTCATGTTATGAATCACAGTTATTTGAAGGTTTCAGCCCACATATCTCTCTCTCTGTCTCTCTCTCTCTCTCTCACCCCTCCAATCCATCTCCTATCTCTCCATCCCTCTCTTTTTCACGCAATCTTCCTTTTCCCTCTGTACTGCACATTTTCTGTCTCGCTTTTCTTTCTCTTTTCAAAGTCTGTGGCAGTCTGTAGCTCTCCATTTTCCCCTTTACAGCTACATTATTCTGTGTCTGCAGGTTGTAAATCACCTGTGCTTTAGCCAATAGAAACTATAATTATAGCTTAAAAATGTGTGTTACTTCTCTAGCTCTACGTTGACAGCCTGCACTGTGTGTCCCCAGTTGGTATTTGCGGTTATTTATTTATTTATTCTTTATAATCCTCTTTGGAGAGTGTTGATGCTGTGGATTCTTTTGCGTCAGACTGCTGACTCTGGTTTTAAATAACTCTCACCATCCCTGTGAGTCAGGTTCTATCGTTTACAGCTACAGCGTGTCACCACTGGATGGGTCTTACCAGAGCTACTTGCTGTTGCGCACACACACCCACAGCGGCTCATGACGTACATCCAGTCGCATTGTCAGATTGTGCGATGAAAAGTGCTAACCGGTCAACCAATTTGCTAACGTCAGTGAGGATTAAGCCGGACTCTCTGAAAGGATAGAGCCTTTTACATCCTGTTATGTAGACAAAAGTGATTCTCTTGATCAGCTGCAAAAATCCATAGTGACTCTGTTCTGTGGGCATTTGTTTGTGCTCTCAGGTCTGGTTGCGTTTCGTCAGCACCTCCAGAACTTGGCGAGGACCAAAGGCATCCTGGAGCTGAACAAAGTACAGATGCTGGTGGAGCAGATGGGCTCTGGGGAAGGGGCTGTCCTGGGCCCCCTGGGACCACAGCACCACTTGCACAACCTCCTGGAGGTTAGTCCCACTGCAGTCACCCAAAAACACACACTCACCCTTTATATAAACACATTCAAGATCTTTCTTTTCCCAACCCTGTTCTCAGCCTCCGTCCCTCTACTATCCTCACCCCGTGTTGCCCAAAAAAACCCATACAGGCACCCAGGCTGTTGTGTAACCCCAGGAGAGCCAGCCAACTGTGGCTTGTTTACTGTCTCCCATCCCCCTGGGGCCTGAGGCCTGGAGCCTAGGCCAAAGTGAATGCAGCCATTGTTGAAGTCAGTCAGACTTACCCATAGTAGTGACTGGCACTCAATAGGCAAAGCTGCAATCACACACAAAGACGGGCACACATATACACAAAGTGATGCACGCACTGCAACGGGAAACTTTTGAGGAAAGATCCGAAGGCTTTCCTAAGAAAAGAACACACACAAAATCAATTGCAGAAGCAGATAAGATCTAGTTGTTTTCCTCTTGTCCATCTCTTATAATGCAATATTGCAGGTCCTTGTTGGTTATGATGCTCAGCCCCCATCATCCATTTAATTTGCTTTCATTTCATTTAACTAATGCGAAATCCCTGTGGTACATGCCATTTAGAGAAAAGCATCTGGCTGATCAGTCACCACACAGGCATTTGGGCAGGAGACAGCATGGATAATCCAGTTAGACCACATGATGAAGCACCCAGACCCTGACACAGCTTTATTAACCGTCAGGAGAGGGCATCTGCGATACGCGTGCCCTTGAGCATGCGTGTACGGATGCATGGGCGTCCACATCCCATGTTATAATGCTTATGCTTTATGTTTTTGATCAAAGGGTGAGGCGTCCAAGCAGCAGGAGGGCTTAGCTTTATACCAAGGCGGGCCCCAGCCGCCTCTCCTGTCCCGAAGACAGAGTTTGGAGACACAATACCTCACTCATAGACTACAGGTACAGTCTAACACCAACTACACTCACTCATTATGACTACATTCAATGATCCACTAGTCTATACAAGTTTATGCCTGATACAGCCCTGTCTTATCAAGCCAAATGGCTGATTTACATAACATTCAGTGATATCATTTGGAAATTTAAGGCTTATCAGCTCTGCTATGATGCAACAATAATGACACAGTTTGTAGCCAGTTATGGTAGCTATCCTGAACGCAGTCATCAGTCCCACTCTCTCTTCTGCCCAGAAGGCCAGCGTCTTGGCTAACAGTCCTGCTAGCTGTCAACTTTTCTGTAAGGAGACTCCTCGAAGTTTAGAGCAACAGCTTCAAGAACACAGGTAAATCACGCTGTAAATGTCTGCTCCACACATCTTTTTTTGCCATTTTATAAAATATTTTATACTTGTGTTCATTTAGCAGTCGTGGCCTTTCACTGGACTGTATTGTTACAGCCAAAAAAGCTATTGCAAATAAATACAAATAAGAAGAGTTATTCAGCATTTTGGTTTCCAAAATCCATTTTCATTCTAAATTTTGCTCATGACTGCTTATGCATACATTTTTCAAGCGTTTTGTTCTTACTTGTGTAGATTCAAAGTGTCACCTATCCAAGGTGCCGATCTAAGTGGGCTCAACTGCTCTCCCTACAGACTGAACCAGAAGAGGATGTACCTGCAGCAGCAGTCACAGGGCATGGGGCTGCAAGCCTACTTCAACCAGATGCAGATAGCTGAAGGATCCTACCAGACAGGTAGCCCTGCTCTGGACCCGGCGGCACCTCAAACTTCCCCTCAGGGCCCCCCCATGTCGGCCGCCCATCAGCCTCAGCCCCAGCAGCAGAGCAGTCCTCAGGCCTCACCTCCCTTCAGCCACCCCCATAGTTTGAGCCCTTTGATGGAACCCGGCGAAGGCCTGGTTTATGATCCCTACATGAGCCATCACCACTATACCCAGCACCTGCCCCCTGGATCTCACCTCCATCACCAGCTCCACCATCCCCAGCATCATGAAGCTTCTGCCAGTGGCCTGGGCTTCAGCTACGCTGCAGGCTGTGAGCAGCAAGTCCTGGGGCCTTCCCCTGAGGGTCTTCACCCAGAGCAGTATGAGTTCCAGCTTGACCCCTCTTCACTGGTCCCGGCTGCTCCAGGAGAGGCTGAGGTTGGAGCTATGGCTGGGGTTTTGGTTGGTCCGGGGCACTCAGATGGTCTGAGCCTGCCTGAGCTGCAGAGTTCCCTCCTGGACAGTGAGATGATGGAGACTGTGGACTCACAGCATGGCTTCGTACTGGTCAACTAAAGCCCGCTGAGAGGGTTAACAGAAAGCAGTATTAAGCAATGAGAACCTACACAGCGTTAAGAGCAGAGAGAATGGAGATATAAGTGGAGGCCACAAGCGTAGCAACAGGGAAGGAAAAGTGTTAATTTTTGTACGACTAATACAAACTTCATTTCTTAGTTGTGATGAACCTCAGACAACATTTCTACCAAAATCCTCCCTTAGCCTACCTCCCTTTCTCCCTCTCCTCTGTTCTCGTTCTCATCAGCTCTGTGAGGCAGGAACAGGTCCGATATGGGGCACAGTGTGAGCTTCGCCGTGTTGACTTGGCGAGGCTGCTGTTGTCGCAGACGTTGTGCCACCTGTGAGGACTGCGCTGCGCAGCCCAGGGATGGGGGGATGCTGCACATCCTGGAGGCTGCCAGAGTGCAGCATTTCACCTACAAATGGTTTGAAAGAGAACTTAAAAAACTTAGGACTGACTGACTGGCAACCAAAAGCACAAAGGCTGGCAGTGCTTTTTGTATTTAAAATAGGACACCATCTACAACACACATCTCAAAACACTTTTGTGCATTTTTTTTTATTTCAATAGATAAAAAAAAAACAAGTGAACAAGAGAAAATGGCCCTCATTTATCACGGTACCATGGATATCACCACAAATTCAAGTGTTAAAAGTGTCCATTTTTAGAAATTATTTTACACACTAATGTGAGTGCAAAGGCTAACATGTTTGTGGTGCATAGGTTTCAACACTAATACTAACTTTAGAGTATTCCTCCAAAAAACAACAGGTAACTTTGTTTGTCATCTGCCTAAATAAATACTCTAAACATGTGGAGTGAAGCACCAGGTTACTGAGCAACGCACCATTTGTTCAGCTTTAGCTACATTTGTGCTTTCAACAGTGATAAACTCTCTCCAAGCTATTTCATTAGTTAACTGACTAATAAAAATAATAGGTATAGCTGCAGTCTTTTGAATAGGCTATGTGACATAAATAATACAGTTTTTTTGTTTGTTTTCTTTGTGGTTTTTGTAACATGTAACTACTGATCCTGATTTATTTCTTACACTACTGAACTGCTTTTCCACCTTTCCATCCGATTGCACACACTTGCCAGGTTTCATTATACTCAATATGATGAGGATAATAACCCGTTTTTGCAGGCGAAATGGCCACATGTCTGTTTAACAGTTGAATTGTGGGTCATGCGTTTTCCTGATAAATGAGGGCTGATGTAATTAACGTGTGTTTGGTTGAGAAGTTGCGGTGTTAGACAGTCAATATTATTCTATTTTTGTGGCAATACTGAAGCAATATTAATCCTTAATGTTGAGGGATTATGAATGGAAGCCTCACCTGTACAGCCAGCTCTGATTGGTTCCCGGGGACCTCTGAGTCATCAGCAGTGACATCACTTGAGCTGATGATGTAACCAGGAGATAATCTCTCACTCACTCGCTGTGTGTGTGTGTGTGTGTGTGTGTGTGTGTGTGTGTGTGTGTGTGTGTGTGTGTGTGTGTGTGAGTGTGAGACAGAAAGAGAGAGAGATAGAGTTTTCTACCAAAATCTCAAGATCATGACACATGCGTGAAGAATATTCATACTATAATCTTGACTAGAAGCATCTGCAAAATGCATATTGATTTAACACATGGATGGACGCGAGCACTGACATAAATAGAGCACATTGCGGA